TGAGCAGAGTGTTAAGCTCGTCGGAAGGCACGCTTGTCTCGCTGCCGTTTTGGACCAACCCGATGAGCTCCAAAGAATGCGAAGGACGATGCACTTCCAGACCGATTCAGTTTACAGAGCTTTCATCAGGATCCGAGATATTTGAGTCCTCTTTCTAGAAAGTCTGAGATCATTCAATTCGGAGCTATGAGCAAGTTGATAACGTTTCCGGAATGGACACATGTCTAGAAGCCTCTTTCTGATCGTGTCAATGTACTGCAAAGATGAGCCCTCCGGGGAACCTTCCACTTCCCAAGCTGATGTGATCCTCCCAAAGATCGGCAGTCAGAAGTTGGTAGAAGGATAAGCTTTGGATCAAAGAAACCATGAAGTCTCAATGATCAAAGGATGTGGAACGAATGGTCGCACATAAGTTGCGGAAGACTTCTGATATACCGGTGATCCCTTGGATATGACACACCAAGACAGATCGATGGAACAAAGGCGCCACAAACGGGGATGGAAAACCGTTTGATAAGCCAACCACGGATATGACACACTGTGGGTTGATCAATGGATATTACACACCATGATCAAAAAGAAATGAGAATCACTCTCAAGATTCCAAAAATAATCATCAAAGTCTTGTTTTTTTATTCAGCATAGTGGGCTCTATAAATAGAGGAAATACATGACAATAAGTCCATTAAAAGTATCTCAACATGCAGAGAATCTAGGGAAATGAAATTCAAACTCTACAATACATGTAAGAGAGAGAAATAGGCAGAATTAAATGCAGTCTTTAACATGGACGAAATTTGATCTTCTTTGATTCTTTTTGGGCTTAATCCACTTTGCTGGACTTCTCTAATGGACCAAGATTATAGAACAACTCGGTTTGTAACTTAACTCATCTTGGTTTGGTCGGAATCCTTCAATGAATGCCCGTAGGCCCGAACGCGTAAGCTGGAGATCACCTGTTTTGTAAATTGAATAACTCCTTCGTCTAAACTCCGTTTGATATGATTCTTCTTTCAGGAGCTTTGTAATTGAGCTGAGCATTTTATCCAGGTGGTTTCATGCGTTTAATCGTCGTGGTTGAGAAGATACGCTTCGAACACTGAACACATGTTTTGATGCTTCCCATGATCACATCATCTTCTCCCTCTTCAAAAGGATTTGTCCTCAAATCCAGATCTCACAATGAAACACAATTTTTTCTCTTTTTTTTTGTTTTTCTTTTTTTTTTGGTTTGTTTTTTTTTCTCTCTTTTTTTCTACTTTTTTTTTCTTTTTTTTTTCTTTTTTTGTGACGAAAATAAATAAAAAATACAGAAATAAAATAAAATGGAAGAAAAAAGAAGATGAAGGGATAGAAGATGAAATAAAGAAGATGAAAATATGAGAAAATGAAAAGAAAATGAAGAGATGAGAAGATGGAATAGAAATAGATACCAAACTTCAGAGTGTGCTCTGATACCAAATGATGTGATCCTCCCAAAGATCGGCACTCAGAAGTTGGTAGAAGGATAAGCTTTGGATCAAAGAAACCATGAAGTCTCAATGATCAAAGGATGTGGAACGAATGGTCGCACAGAAGTTGCGGAAGACTTCTGATATACCGGTGATCCCTTGGATATGACACACCAAGACAGATCGATGGAACGAAGGCGCCACAAACGGGGATGGAAAACCGTTTGATAAGCCAACCACGGATATGACATACTGTGGGTTGATCAATGGATATTACACACCATGATCAAAAAGAAATGAGAATCACTCTCAAGGTTCCAAAAATAATCATCAAAGTCTTATTTTTTTATTCAGCATAGTGGGCTCTATAAATAGAGGAAATACATGACAATAACGTCCATTAAAAGTATCTCAACATGCAGAGAATCTAGGAAAATGAAATTCAAACTCTACAATGCATGTAAGAGAGAGAAATAGGCAGAATTAAATGCAGTCTTTAACATGGACGAAATTTGATCTTCTTTGATTCTTTTTGGGCTTAATCCACTTTGCTGGACTTCTCTAATGGACCAAGATTATAGAACAACTCGGTTTGTAGTTTAACTCATCTTGGTTTGGTCGGAATCTTTCAATGAATGCCCGCAGGCCCGAACGCGTAAGCTGGAAATCACCTGTTTTGTAAATTGAATAACTCCTTCGTCTGAACTCCGTTTGATATGATTCTTCTTTCAGGAGCTTTGTAATTGAGCTGAGCATATTCTCCATGTGGTTTCATGCGTTTAATCGTCGTGGTTGAGAAGATACGCTTCGAACACTGAACACATGTTTTGATGCTTCCCATGATCACATCACAAGCGCTGAGGGTGTTTTCACCAAAGTTCGAGATATTTGAGTTGTCTTTCCAATGCAGTTGAAATCATGTCATTTGGAGCCATATCCTGGAAGTTACTCTCCCCTCAATGCAAAGTGGTCCGAGAAGGCTTAGGTTGTGCGATACGGTACTGCGACTTGATTAACTCGCACCCATGAATGTTCAACGCTCTGGAAACAAGTTGAGACTTCAGAGATGAGTGTAAGGAGACTCTGAGCAAGGTAGAGACTTCCAGAATCAAATTTGAGTAAGTCCACAATGCTGTGCGAGATAGACCTGCGAGTTGGACATGAAGTGGAACCATGTAGCACATGTGTTCGCAAATTACACCGACTTGGGCATGCGACTTGGGCAAGGAAGTGACCATCTCGCACACATATCATCTCCATATTGCGTCCTGGTTGTGCGAGTTAAAGAAAAGGAAGCCTGAGCAGCACAAACGTTCGTAGACCTGCGAGTTGGACATGAAGTGGAACCATGTAGCACATGTGTTCGCAAATTACACCGACTTGGGCCTGCGACTTGGGAAGCACCTGACCATGTCGCACACCAGCCACCAGACCCAACTGAGCCGGGTCAGTACCCAGTTTTTCCTGGGCTGACCGGGTCCATCAGCACTTAGTATATATAGCTTTTTGGAGAAAAACCCTAAAAAAATCTTCTTCTCTCTTAGTTTCTTTCCTTTTCAGTGTAAAAACGAGTTTGATCAGGAGATATCTAGCAGATTTAATCATCTTAAGGCTGTTTCTTATCATCTGATCATCTCATCTCTGCTTCTAATCATGATTAACACCACCTCTTGCAAAGGAAATGGTGTGTTAATCATGATTAGTGAGTAGTCATCTTTTTAAACTTTTAGGTGTGTAGATTAGGGTGCTTAGATGTTTGATTTTTGATATTTAGGGTTTAGATTCTCATTTCATTTCTTTAGTTAGCTGCTCCTAATGCCAGATTTTCTTGGGAAAGTGAAATCTGGGTTCATAGGCATTTCATGCACCAAAAGTGTTTGATGAAATGCCTGAAAGAGCTACTTAAGGGTTTATGTTTTAAATGTCATGGGAATGTTTGTTTGAAGCATAAATGACATATTAGAACTGTTTCTTAATGCTCATTAGTTCATATTTCACAAATGAGAATTTGGTTTGAAAGTGGATTAGTGTAGAGATTAATGCCTTCATGAGAGGATTAGTCTAGATTAGAGTTCTAAGTTGAAATGTTTGAGATCATGTGATTGTTTGTTATGTCTTTCTGTATAAGATTCAGTCTTCTTGGTTAAGAGATTGTTTGGTCATTTATTAGGCTTGATGCATTATGCTTGTTGATTGCTTGATTATATCTAATGGTTGTTAGACTTGATTAAGTGATTAGCAAAGGGATTATTGTCATGGGAATGAATTAATCTGATTAAGAAGCCTAGACTAAAGAGTAGCAAGTGTTGCATTATGTTCTTAGCATCATGAATCAATATCTAAAGCACCCTAATCAATGATCACATCTAGAGGTTTAGCTTTTATCATCTTTATTATCACCATCATCTTGTTGAGTTTGCTTTAATTACTTCCTTATCATTGCTTGTTTGTTTCTTGTTTACGATTTCATTTGTTACTAGTTATCAAAAACCTGTCTTTGATCACTTGACTTAAGAACTTATCACATAAACTAGTGCCTAACTACCACACATATGGATTGACACCCCTTATACTACTTTGACAAGGAGATTGATAACCCGTCTAAGACCTGAAAAATCTTAGTTATCAATTAGCTGGAGTCTTTGGCGCATCTTCTTCATCCTCTAGGAGGCAACCATCAGTGCAGATGGACGAGGAGATGTTCGGGTTTCTCCCGTTGATCTTTCTAGAGATGGAGACCAGGCACTGGAAAACTCCAACCGAAGAGCCGGCAAAGAACCTGCGGACCAAGACGGAGAGCAGGACGATGCGGGGATAGACAACATTAGTATATATTTATGTCTTTGATAGGTTTTTTTGTAAATAATGTAATTTTTATTATTTTGAATTTTAATTACATTTAAATATTAATTTTCTTTTAATTATATTTTTTATTCTAATTAAAATTTCAGTTCAGATTAATTTTTTTTCTCATTTTAACAAAACGTCCTATAATCGTCGTAATACTATTTATTATTATTTTAATGTATCGTCATAAAATCGTCGTAATAATATAACAGTTTTACGTCGAACAAACCAAAAAATACGACGCAATTACTACGATATGTTCATCGTATATAATATATGACGCTTATACGTCGGTTAGTTACGACGATTTTACGACGGTTATGATGAAAAACAAACCAAAGCAAATCGATGTAAAATCGATGTAAATTTTATGACGCTTTTACGACGTCTTTGAAAATAAAGAAATAGTTAATATATTCAAGATAATTACGTATTTACACGATTTTACGACGGTTTTTGACCGTCCCAAATTTTACAACGAATTATCTTTTACGACGGTTTTAAAACTGTCGCAAGTACGTCGTATTAGGAATTTTACAATGATTTTAGTTGTTTTTCTTGTAGTGTAACTTTTATAAGCTTTTGTATTGAACTACTTTGATATTATATATTTTAATTTAGAAATATGTTTATTGGATATAATTAATTTAATCTTCACATAAGGCGGATAACAATTAACGCCTAACGGGCTATTAGTGGACAATATTAACCCTTTATTAAAACACATCAAAGCAACAATTAAAGGACATTCTGGTAAAAAAGAACCAAAGGACATTTTGCATAATCGAAGGAAACACTAACCATATACATACGTAACTCTAGAATTTCAAACCAGAACCTTGGAGTTTCTCTTGGATGATCATGTCTATCTTGTTCTCCATTTCAGGAGTAAGATAATTTTTCGAGTCGCCGACTTCCCCTTTACGGAAATAATCCTTGTTGTCCGAGTTGTAGCTTTTACCAGTTTTGTTAATCTTTAAACCGCTTAAATTACGTAGAGAGCAAAGGTCCGAGATCTCGTCCACACATCCACTCTCTTCTTCTTCTTTAGTAAAAGGGCAACCCAAGAAATCCGCAAGTCTCTTGATCTGATCATGAGGCTCTGCTTTCATTTCCTCATATCTCATGAAAAGGACACGCTTGGGATCTTCTAAGCTGCCTCTCCAGTAACTCAAGAGATGTTCCCAAAAAGGTCCGTAACTGAAAGTTCCGTTGCAAAACGATTTGAACAAAGACTCGAGAATACTTCTATTTCGTTCTAATTTATAAATAGCACAACTGAAAAACCACCACGAGACTAATGTGTCCTTCATGTTCCTGCACACGTACACAATCTTGCAAGAAGAGTCCTTGAGGGTCTTGTGCATCGCGTGCAGTGGCATGTGAGTCGAGAACAGCCTCGGAACTGATGAGTACTTGGCCAGGTCAGGACTCGAGCTTTCAATATATAAACCGAGCTCAAAGTATGGTACAATCCCATGAGGATTATGAGATAGTAGAGGATGATGATCAGAAGAATGGTTCTTTGATCTCTCGAGGATGGCGACTGTGAGGGCCTTGAGCCAAGTGGTACCTGATTTGGGGTAGGAGGCAAGGATTATATCCGTGTCTTGTGGTTGAAAACCTCGCTGGAAATTAAGAACTCCTTGGAGAGTGTTGTAGTTATACCAACATCCTTGATACTTACAAAGCTTCCTTCCTTGGAAATCTTCGTGTGAAGGAAGCGAAGAGATCAAGCTCTTGGTTTCTTTGGTTATCTTGTCGTCTCTTACGATCGAGAGAAGGTCTTTCGGATCCATTTGTTTTGTTGGTTGTCTTGTTACCAAAAGATGTGTTTAAGCTTCAAACGAAATCATAAAAGACAAACCTATTCTCAGAAAAACTTATTTAAATATGCATGGGTTTGATTTCATTGATTCTTTTTATGTGCATTACAGCTAATAAGTTCGAACTTCACGTGATACATCAGTTTTATATAATATTTGATTTTAAAATTACAATAATTTTTTTACAAAAAAAAAAATTACAATAATTTTTCATTAGACGTAATGCAATAGAATAGTGTATACTTTATATTAAAATTAAGAAAATAGTCTATGTTTTTAACAAAATAGTTTAAAGTTGATAACATTATAAATTCATTCCGTTTTGATATACTGTCTATGTTGTATTTGCATGACGTGCGCTAATTCCTCGATCGCTTGAATAGAGACTTATGCGAGAGATGACTTTAATGAAAGATCATCTATGAGTTTTAGGGCTTACGTCTCATATTATGATTGGCCGATAGAGGGTCTTTTAGAAAATTATCTAATATAGAAAGTGTAGAAGACAAATGATGATCAGAAGAATGGCTCTTTGATCTATTGAGGAGGGCAACTGTGAGGACCTTGAGCCAAGTAGAGCCTGATTTGAGGTAAGAAGCAGAAATTAATCATATCGGTGTCTCTTTCGGTTGAGAACCTCTGGGAATTTAGTAACGCCTTGGAGAGCGTTGTAGTAAAATTAACATCTTTGACACACTTACAAATCTTGTTCCCTTGGGAATCTGTGTCTGAAGGAAGAGCGAAGAGATCAAATTCTTGGTTTCTTTGCTTATGTTGTCGTCTCTAACGATCGAGAGAAGGTCGTTCGGATCCATTTGAGTTGTTACAAAAAGGTGTGTTTAAGCTTCCAACGTAATCATAATAGATATATGAGCAAAGAAGCCAAGAAAAACAATCAACCTATTTTTAAATTGTTTGCTAAGAAAAAATATTTTAAAATGTGGATAGATTAAGTAGTAGGTGTAGTTTGTTTTCGTAGAATCGATTAATAACACATGGTTTTTATACAATCTTTGGTTTTAAAATGTCAATAATTTGTTATTTGCTGAACTGCAATAGAATAGTGTAGGTGCAAATGGTCGATATATTAGAGTTTAGAAATATGTACGTTCTTATCATTTTGTCCAGCGCAACAATTTCGAGTACCGAGAGTTTAGAAATAAAAATGTTGGTTATCAAGAACTAAGTTCATTTTATCAAGAACTAAGTTCATTTTGTCAAGACTACATTTTAGGCTTCCTTATAAGTGATCAAAATGTTCTAACGATTCTGAACAAAGTTCGGTTCTCATCAAATATGGTTTTTACAAATATTAATTTTCTCACTAACAAAAAAAAATGTTTCGAAAACAGAAAAAAAAAAAAGAAAGATCACGAAAATAAAGAAATATCATCTTAACATAACAAAAGAGAAATGGTGAAAGAACGCTCTATTTTTTTTTATTAGCATTCAAAATAACTAACAAGTTATCAAGTAACAACAATGAAACCTTCAAAAAAAAGTGAAAAAGGAAAAAATATAACGAAATCAGACAAAATGCGCTTTACTTCTAGTTTAACCGGACTGAACCAGGCCGGTTAAACCAATTTCCAGTGCTTCCTCTACTCTGTGGAAGAGAGAAAAAAAAAAACAAACTTTGGCTCTGAAGTAAACTTACATATTGGACGTAGCCATTCATCTCCACCGGATAATTGCTGAGCCCCAAGTTAAACCGGCTCCAAAACCGGAAGTGGCTATGGTATGTCCCGGTTTAACTTTTCCGCTTCTCACCGCCTCATCAAGAGCTAGAGGAATCGAAGCAGCGCTTGTGTTACCGTAATTAGCCAAGTTTGAAATCACTCGTTCCTGTGGAAACTGAAGTCTTGTAGCCACAGAGTCTATTATTCTCTGGTTTGCCTGCAATTATTTTATAACAACTTTCCATTCAGCCATTTTTGCTGAATTTTCGGTATGAAAGCTCTAAACTTTCGTCATTTTTACACAAATTTCAGATCTTTTCATAAGTGAAGTTTGAATAAATGATAAGAAGATAACCTGGTGGAGGAGGAGCCAATCAATGGAAGAAGCAGGAAGACCGGCTTTTTGTAAAGCAAGCTCAATAGATTGGGGAACGCATTTGACAGCAAAGCGAAATACTTCTTTTCCATTCATCTGAATGCAAGAGTAGGAAGATTGTTTTGGAGGAAAGTCTCCAAATACAGAGCCATTGGAGCTCGAGGCACCATCAGTTTGGGATTCTTTAACAGAAGCATTCAAATGCCTGCAAAAAAAATATAGAGAATCTTAAGGGAAAGGGAAGGAGAAGATGAAACTTAAAAGCCCAGCAAATGAAATGTGAATCTAAATACCTACGACCATCTCCATCGCTGTGCACATCAAAACTAAATAACCCATCATCCTCAATATCACAAGCCTGCACGAAATGAAAGTACATTTATCGGCTTAGTTCAAAGAACAAAGATTGATCTTATAAGTCAAGAATTTGTTGGTAATGTGGCAAAAGGTGTATCCTCTGTTTCAGTATCCAATGAAGCTTATAATAACAAACATAGGATCAATAATGACACAGCTCGACATTGTTCAGTACCTGAACAACCACAGCACCAGCAGCGTCTCCAAAGAGAATGCAGGTTCCTCTATCCGTCCAATCAACAAACCGAGACAAAGAATCAGCTCCAATCACTAAAACGTTCTTAAAACCGCCTCCTGAAAAAAGAAAGGATAGTTATTACAGACTTATCTTATTAGCTATCTACTAATCAATTCTTGCATCGAATTTGACCTCTTATATGACAAGCAGCTGACACTAGACCCAAAACAAATCCACTACAAGCAGCTGTGATATCATATGCCAACGGGTTCTTTGTGCAACCAAGTGCCTTTTGAATCTGCCATCAGTAGAGAATTATGACAAATCAAACAACGGTTCCATCAAAAAGAAATTTGGATTTAAGGGGTCAGTAAAACCTGTGGAGCAGCACCAAATAGATCATCAGGAGTAGATGTGCACATCAAGATTAAGTCAATATCTTCAGGAACAACCTCTGCCATTTCAAGGGCTTTGGTTGCTGCTTCTACTGCTAAGCCAATCAAGCTATCTTTGCCTTCAATAGTAGTTTTACAAAAATTAATGTTTCTCTTATGTATACCAATTCTACTCTAAAATGATTGATTGAGGAATGAATTGAATATAACGTTACCTGATACAACTCGACGGTTGCGAATACCCGTACGAGTAGCTATCCATTCATCATTGGTATCCACTATTTTTGCAAGATCATCATTAGAAATCAGAAGACTTGGCACTGCTGAACCAGATCCAATCAATTTGCAGCCACTCGGCACTAGCCTTTAAGTAGACATAGCAGAATTAAATTAGAGACCATTTCAATGCTTTCGAGTAGCTTAAAGATCATCGTAAGGCCAAGCAAAGACTTAACAATAAGCATGAATCAACAACGATTTGAATGCATTCTACAAAAGCAAAAAAGAAAAACGATCTTCTTGAAGCTTAGCTAAAGACTTGTAATAAACTTTTGATTCCAATCTTCCTAATCTCAGAAACTTGAGCTCAATATCAAGAAACGATCTCAATATCAAGAAACGATCTCAAATCAATGGATTGCTAAAGAAGAATCACACCATGAACAAAGAATCTATGATTCTGAAACGATAAAGACTTGAGTTTTCTCACCTGGGTCGTCGATATTCAGAAGGAGATGGCGAAGCATGCTTATCGACGCCACCAACGGAGCTAACGCCGGAGCAAATAACCCTTTTAGAGAAACCTCTCGAAACGCAAAACCCAGATCCAGAAACTCTAGTTGGGATGTGGTTTCTGCTTCGCAGGGAAGAAACTGAAGGGTGAGTGAAGAATCCAGATGCATTCGCCATTTGATAGAGGAGGAATCGAAGAAAGAGAAAGAAACAAGATTGTTAATGTTTCGGATTACAGCGAATCGAAAATCTCTCTCTCTCTCTCTCAGAGCTCGAATTCAGTGTAATGCCAAAGTTCCAGAGATTGAATCAAAAGGATGAAATCGGCGAGACAAGAAGAATTCGAGTGTTTACAAAAAGAAAATGTTTTTTTTTTTTTGCTGGGAGATTTTCTTCTATAGATTTTCGAATTTTTCTTTATGATTGGTTTTGTGTAGTGAGTAAAATCAAATCTTCGGAAGTTCCAAAGCCAAGAGGAGACAGAGAAGATTGAGGAGATTCCAATGCTATATTGAAAACAACCACTGGTTCCACTGATGAAGAGTAATTTACAAATTATTCACAAAATTGGCACTGAAGTTAATGAATTGTAAATAAAGTCCTCTAGAACACCATTTGTTTTTATTATTTTTTTTCAAAAATATCTTAATTTTTTATATAACTACAGGGAACTTTTACAAAAAAAAAATTCTGTGGGAGGGTTACCTATGAAATTCAGGGAACTCTTTTTATAACTAATTTTGGACTTTAAAATAAGAAACAATGTCGAAACTTTTTTTTTTATATGAGTTGATTTTTTTTGAATAATAGAATTCGAAACTAAAAAGGTGGTGTTTTGAAATTAAAAATAAAATATAAAATTTTAGCTTGTTCTATCTTCTTATTTTATATTTTAAAATGTGTCTGTATTTTGTTTAATGTTATAAGATTCAATAGTTTAATACCAAATGGAAGAAACGGGAATCCTTGTCTCCTCCCAAATTTGCCAATTTCAGCGCCAGCTAATCATTCTTTGCACTATTTTGTTATCCTCTTACTAATATAGCTAAATATTTACAAGATTTCTAAAAATGAATTTCATCAAGTAGATTAAATTGTAATATTCCATCGGTTTAAACAAAGAAAATTAAATTGGTTAATACGAAGGTAAATGGGACAAAAGAAAAAGGTGGTTGAGTACCGGTCGTATATTAGTAGGGGTTTGGTGAACAACTTGAAGAAGATTAAGAGAATAATCAAAATCCACTTTCAAATTTAAATCGAAATGACTAAGTTATTCACAAAAAAAAAACGTGAAAGAAGATGCAAATGTTGTCATATATAGTTGGTTGTGGACCGTCTTCATAATAAGAAGCTTCATAGTTTGGTGGATGAGACAGAGACACAAAGACACTTTTAATGTTAATTTTACACATGAATTGTAAATTTAATACACATTCTAATTCTAAACAAAGAAAATCAATGCCAGAAGAGGAAATGGATAAGGATATAAATTTTTAGAAGTAAACCAAAAAGATGTGGGCACAGATGATAATCATATATATATAAACATAGTAGTCACAAAGCACGTACACTTGACATTTGAAACACAATTAATTAAACATGTCTGTATTGATGATCGCGTAAGCAGAGATATGAAATATACAACAACATTATTAACTTCAAAGCAAGCATCTTCGCAAGCCAATGTATCTAGAAGAGAGAAAGGTTGATGGTAAATCAAATGAAGACCAGCGTAGCCTCCACAAGTTATTATTTTTCAGATTATGGATTGATCGTGGCTAGTTGATGACCTAAACCAAATAAAAAAAATAACTCAGAGAAACATATAGAAAGTGAAGCAAATAGGAACAAGGAGAGAAAATGACCTCTTTGAATTTACATGAAGGTAAGAAACGGTCTTTAGTGGCTTCATCTTCCCATTCAATCAATTCTATCCATTTTCTCTCTCCATATTCTATCACGACTTCTTGTCCCATGGTGCTTTTAGAATTGAGTGGGAGCTTTTTCAACATTGGGCAGTTCCTCACATCGATATTCCTCAGATAAGGAAATGGTAGAGGACTCTTGTAAATGCTTTTTAGCTTAGGTAAACCATGGAGTTGTAGACATTTTAGCTTTTGAAAAGGTTTAATAACTGACTCTGCTTTCTCTTTGCTGATTATATCCTCTAGTTGCTTCGCGGTGACAATGGTAAGCTTAGACAGATTTGGAACAAACATCAGCCATGTTAGATCCTTTAGGTTGATGTTGCACTCACTTATATGCACATCAGAGAGGTTAGGGAAGCAAGGAATTTCACTGTATGTCCTATCAATCTTTATCTCCCATATAACACAAGTGCTTATGCTGAGGCGACGACATTTATCCATACTTGGCATACTCAACCCTTCTACCTTAAGGTAACTGTCGATAGATAGATCGGTAACAAGGCTGGCCAACTTGTATGCACTTAACAGTTGCTTCATTTTTGAGATTGAAGAAATACTCATGGTTAGAATATCTAAATGATCCATGGCTTGTAGCTCTTTTAGTGAGCTAAGATCTAGCTGAAGAGCTGAATACTTTAACCCCAAGATCTTTAATCTCGACAAATGTGATACCCCAGAGATACTTTCAAGACTCAGTGTGCGCTCCAAATTCAAATGTATTAATCTTTTCAACTCTCTTATACCAATAGGCAATCTTTCTATTGATGTTTCTGACAAGTCGAGATACTTTAGTGAAACTAACTCTGATATTCGTTCTGGCAATTCAGAAAGGAAATAGTTCTTTGATAGATCCAAAACAGCTAACCTTGGCATTGATGTGAAGAACTCCTCCGATATCTTTTGCAATTTTTGATTCTGCTGAAGGAACAAAGTTAAAAGCTCGGGAGTTCTAGGGATGTCAGATAAATATGTAATCTCATTACACATCAACGACATTCGTTTCACATCACTCCAGTTCTTGATCGTCCTTGGTATTCCGTGTAACTTGAATTTTGCTTGGGCAACAAAATTTTCTTTATGCTTCCCAAATTCAGATGCTACCCACAAGGCCATTTCACGAACCACATCATGCATCTTCACTTTCCGCTTATCCCTTTCATCTTCCATCAACAAACACGTATGAACAAGAATACCAATTATATCATGACCTTGGTGCACGACTTTTTCTCTATCCTCATTTTCAATGATGAACCCCTCGCATATCCAGTAGTCTATCAACCTATCTTTAGTTATTAGATAATATTCAGGAAATAGAGCACAATATTTGAAACATGACTTCACCTGTTCACTCTTCAAACTGTCGTAGCTATACTTCAAAACTGGAAGAATATCATCTTCCATTCCTGAGAATTCTGCAGCAGATGAAGTCAAAACATCAACAGCACAATTCCATTCTTGTGCTGTTGTTTTACATGCCATGGTCTCACCAATGGCGTTGAGTGCCAATGGTAGACCACCACATTTTTCAACAACTCTTTTTGCAAGATCTTGAATATCAGGATCACTCTTCAATGTGTTTGCTCCAACTTTCTTTTTGAACAGTTCCCATGCATCATCTGGCGCCAAACACTGGATCTCCACGGGGTTATGAACCCCCATGCGTGCACATACTTCTCGTGAACGAGTGGTGAATGCTACTTTGCGTTTAGATCCCATTGTTGGAAATGGGATTCCAATCTCTTCTAGATCTATCTTCCTCCATAAGTTGTCCAACAACAACACAAACTTTTTATCCTTTAGTGAACTATACAGCTCAATGGCCTTCTGGCTTTCCTTTTTACGGTTCCACTCCTCTCCACGAAGGCCAAGTTTTTCACCAATATCATCTTGAATTTTCCCGACCAGAGAATCTCTAGAAACTGTAACCCAAATCACAATTTTGAATCCACCACTTATTTGACCTAACTTGTTGTTGATCCTTGTGAGAATGGTTGTTTTTCCTACTCCTCCCATACCGTATAGTCCCATAACTCCGGTTTTATCATCCATGAGACGGTTCCATGCTGTTTCGAAGATTTCTTTATGACCAACAAGTGTCGGCTGAATAGGCCTCTCTTCAACTTTAGCTTTCATAGGTTGCTCAGCCACCACTTCAAAAACCCCTTTGGTCTTGAGATCATTAACATCCCGCAACATTAAGAAAACTCTTTTCCCATAATGATAGCTTGATGATAGATTCTTGGAGCAGAACCCACAAAGACACAACCTTTGAAGCTCAAAAGTTTTGGCACCTAATAGATCGTTGACTTGCTTTTCGATGGAATCAACACTCTTAAACCATAGCTGAATTTGGGCAAGCACTCGCAGACCTCTATCTTCTTCCTCTATCTTGGCCTTTGTAAGCAAATCATCTCGTCTTGCCTTGAGCTCTTCCATGGCTCTCTCCAAAATGGAGAGATTATCCTCAAGGTTATGGATATAACACTCTTTATCAAATAACCATTGAGAGGCACGATTGACGAGTTGATCACACGATATCGAGACAGAAAATAAACCTCCCATTATGCAAAGACAGGTAGTGTAAATTCACAAAGCAAAAACCGTGACAATAATTGCAATAAAAAATTCGGGAGAGCCTAAGAAAACATAAAACTACGCAAAAGAGGAAAGTGCATATAGTATACGTTGATGCCTTTCCTTCCTTTTTGGCTTCCATATATTCCTATTTGTCTACTTTCGCTATTTCAAACTTGTAATGTACAAGTGATTTATATTTGTTATATTTAGAGATTCTTTTACTTAATATATTTGTTTATTCATCTTTCCTTTCCCCAAAAAGTTACAAACATGTACAAGTGATTTCATTATATTTATATCATTTTAAAGAATTATATTAGCTTTTTGTATACATACGCTGATAAAATAAAAAAACTGAACTTATGTTTACTTAATCACTAACTAGTCAGATGTGAAATGCACGTAATTATTTATTTGTTAAAGAAAATGGACGTAAACAAAAATATTCAACTTTTTTTTGTACATGTGCAACAAATTAAATGGAGGTAAATTAAAGCAGGGTTTTAAAAAAAAAAGTAAAACAAGTTACACATGTGGAATATACCAAGATGCAGAATAAAATGAGACTCATCGCATGAAGAAATATAAAAGAGAATCGAACCGAATTCATGAATAAACTTGATAAGTTGAGGAGGAACAAAACCGATTGATGCAAGGCTGCCTTCTTATAAAAAAGTAACATTCTTTTCGGGGTTATAGGTATTAAGAAAGAGATCTTGAATTTTTCTTGATAAGCCTAAGATTTTTTTTTTTTTTTTTTTTTTGAGTCAACATTTGTTTTCTTCTTTTGATAAATAACGAAAAAATTCCCAACATTTGACCATGATCTTTCTATACGTGGGATCAGCCTATGCTAGGAATCTCAAATAGAAGAAAGTTGAGATTGAAGTTAAGTAGATAAAAAACATGGTATCAATGTCATTATGTAGAAATGTTATAAACTTAGCATAATATCATTATGGGACGTAAATTATCATTTCCAAACGGATCAAATTTAATAGGAATTCAACGTTCAGTTTCGTTAAGAAAGAGTAGCCAGCTTGTTACCACTCAAGTAAACTGATACCAGTGATTCAGTGAAGTTAGACAGTGATGAATTAAGATTTAACCACATTATAACCTGATAAAAACTACAATAAATAGTGGAGCATCATGCATGAAATCAAGAAAACTGGCTTGAGTTGCTTCATTCTCCATTCAAATCCCTTCTAGCCACTCTTTTCTATTGTATTCTATGATGTTTATTGCTCTTTTGGATCGAATAAAAGTTTTCTTCAGACTTGAGAAACAAGTCGAGATAGTATATTTAAGAGTCGGTTTAAATTCTCACATTAAAACCGGAATTAAAGTCTGGTTTAGTTCCGGTTTTGAAAAATATAATCCAATCTAAATGCAATAATTGGTCAACTTAAGTCCGTTAATGTTTACTAAGACCACGTCCAACGCAGGGTTTATAGAGTTCATACGCAGAGTTCAAAGCCTTATTTGGATTTTATTTAATCAGAGAGGTCCCACAATTTTCTTAAACCAGTTCTTATATTAGAGTTTTTTTAACCCGTTTTTGAGAAGTTTTAGCGTGACGTATGATCGTATAAATGGAGGAAGGAATTTTTTTTTTTTTTTGAGAAAACCTTTTGGTCTCTCTTTCCTCGACCACAACGAAGACTTCGACCAAATTTTTCTCTGCATCGTCTCTTCCAATTTTTCTCGCCAATCTCGTCCTCTCTAATACTTTCTTACCTTTCTGACCTTCTTTCTCTCTTTCCTCTCTCTTCGCAGCTGCATCTTCAAGTGAGTTTGATGAGGACGTGGAAGACGATGGAGAGAGCGATGACACGGTCCTCACCGACGAAGAAGACGAATAATTCCTCTGTTTCTTCAACCCCAAAAGCTCTTTCCAAAGAACTGTACATTTAGGAGGACGAGGAGATGGATCTTCGTCTATAAACCAACTCACTCTGTTATTATTATTATTTATTATGATTTTCTACCTATAATCTTTGGTGGAAGTCAGATTTGTGAGCAAATATTACTATAGACGTGTGGCTGATTGGTTTGTGTCTGTAAATTAAAGAGAAGAGTTCGAGCTAGTGGTGGACTTTGTGAAAGTAATAAAACCCCATTACAAATTAAGCATAAAAAATGGAGAAGTTCTTAACTTCTCAACTTAAAAAACAATATTAATAAAAAATGGAAAAGAATCTCATTAAGAGGTTGAGGGTTGAACATGCTCTAAAACAAAGTGTGACTTTGGTGGGCCACTTAAATAACAGAATCTCCATGGTTTGACCCAAGAAGAATAATTGAGAATCTCGTAAAACCCCAAATGGCACCGTCGTCATCGTTAACAAAATCACGCCACGTGGCTGTTATCGGAGCTGGAGCCGCCGGTCTAGTGGCGGCGAAAGAGCTTCGACGGGAAGGTCACTCGGTGGTCATCTTCGAGAGACAGAATCAAATTGGAGGAACATGGATCTATACCGATGATGTCGAACCGGATCCGTTAAGCGTCGACCCGACCCGACCCGTTGTTCACTCGAGCGTCTATGGCTCTCTCCGAACCAACCTTCCTCGAGAGTGTATGGGATTCAGAGACTTCCCGTTCGTGACCCGATCCGGTGCATCCGAATCCAGAGACCCGAGGAGGTTTCCGAGTCACAGCGAAGTTCTTGCGTATCTTCAAGAGTTCGCTAAGGAGTTTGGTATCGAGGAGATGATACGTTTCGAGACGGTGGTTGTGCGGGTTTCTCCGGCGACGAAAAGCGACGGTAAAGGAGGAATCGGGAAATGGAGGGTTGAATCTACAGAGAAAGAGAAGAAAGTTCGTCGCGATGAGATTTACGATGCTGTTGTTGTCTGTAACGGGCATTACATAGAGCCTCGTCTCGCTGAAATTCCTGATAATTTTCCCTTTGATTCTCCTCAACATCTTGACGTTCATTGGATTGCGTCTTAAGCTTCATAGGAATAGTGAAACATAAGCTAATGATAAGTGTGATTGTGATTCTCGTCTTGCAATTCTTCAGAATTTCTGATCTTGAATAGCTTGGCGTGTTAGGTGTTTCTATAGCCTTAGAATCCTTGTGTAATCTCGAAAGTTTAGATCGAATAAGGAAACAGTACTTTATAGAACCTGTGAAGCTAAAGCTTGAATAAGAAGTTTGATTGTGATTTTTTTGTTTTCTCCGGAAACTTTTAGGGATAAGTTCTTGGCCAGGGAAGGAGATGCACAGCCATAATTACCGTATTCCTGAACCATTCAAAGATCAGGTTACTTTTTTTTTTTTTTTTGAGAAAGATCATAGAATGTCAGATTTTTATGTAATGCTTAATAATTTGCTACATTTACTCAGGTTGTTGTGCTAATTGGAAACTCTTTAAGTGCTGATGATATAAGTAGGGACATTGCTAGAGTTGCCAACGAGGTTCATGTGGCTTGTAGATCAAATGCAGCTGATACTTTTATCAAGCAGACCGGTTACACTAATATATGGATGCATTCGATGGTTAGTTAGCTCTCTATGACTAGTACTCACCGTAATTCATTGATCTGATCAGTAGAGAAATAACTCTCTATGTTTTCTTGAATGTCATGCAGATAGAGCGTGTCCATGAAGATGGTTCAGTGGTTTTTCAAAACGGGAAAACGATTTTGGCTGATGTTATTATGCATTGCACTGGGTAATACATTCATTTGTTCTTTTCGGCTTTGAGCTTTATGGTTTCTTTTCTCTTTTCGAGATGTGGTAAACTTAAGAAGCTCTTTCCTGTTTTTGCAAAGGTATAAGTATCACTTCCCGTTTCTTGAAACCAATGGAAGTGTTAATGTAGATGATAACTGCGTCAATAAGCTTCTGGGTACTCGATTCACGGTAGACTGGGACGACATCGTTGCGCTCCTCTCAGACTCGACGCAACAATCTACTCCCCTGTTCTTATTCAGATATGCTTTTCAGGTGACTATTCATAGTCTTTGGCGGGAACGAAATAGGAGATATCACGGAGAACAACCGTCCTCACAGCATCTCCTTTATCGTTTCATTGATAAAAGCGTTGGGAATCGTATTTCTTCTCTCAGACTCTTGGGCATACATCGACGGGAAGATGGACTACAATGGTGGTTCTCCACCAGATAGCAATCTCTTTCTTTACTATGTAAACTAGAATTTATAATCTAGATTAGCAAATTTCAATAGCTTACAAACATTCAGAATTCTTTTGTAGAAAGAGGTTTTTTGATGAATAAATTTTACATTCTTCAAAAAAAAAAAAAAAAAATGATAACTGCGTCGGACCATTGTACAAACACATCTTCCCTCCAACATTAGCACCGTCGCTTTCCTTCATCGGAATTTCAAGAAATAGTTCACTTTTAAGCAACAGACAGAGAGACTTAAACAACAACAAGAAGGCAAAGAGAGAGATAGAGAAGCATCACAGAGGCAGAGAAAGAGAGAGAGTGTCCCTTTGAAATAAATCCAAATGGCATCATATACTTCGGTTGCTGCCTGAGGAGCCCACTTGACCTTTATGTGCTTATAATCACATAGAAAGAGAGATTTTAAACACTTAGAAAGAGACAGAGGCCATATGTAACCCGTTACTACTCAATATATTGGGTCCGGAGCTTCTCTCAAAAGATGAGGTAACTGGTCAGAGAGATTGGATACAGTGGCGCAAATTAGAACAGCTCTCGAGTTTGTGTATAAAAACATATATAATGTCGATCCAAATAAGAAAAGAACTCACATAAAGCAACACATAGTGAAGTTGTATTAATTTTACAGAATGCAACAGCAGACAGAGAACTCACACAATGCAACAAAGGGAAAGAGATTTCTCTTTGGAATAACCCAAAGTATAAATGTTATGCAAGTTGCATTGCAACACACAAAGAATGATAGTGCCTTCAAGGGAAGCAACCCAGAGAGAGAGAGAGAGAGAGAGGGAAAGAGTTCTTGGAAAAAACCGAGATGACTTCTTCACCTTCTGCTTTCGTAGATGCCTTTTAATGGCTGTAATCAAATTTAACACAAAATAAAAATAGATAAGATGCATTAAAGATGTAAGCTGTTCACACCTGAAAAAGTGCAATCCTTTGAAAACAAATGAGAGAGAGGAGAAATTTTGACCTTTGATAAATGTACGAAACGGGTTTTGGTAGCTTCGTCCTCCCATTCCAAACCATCAAACCATTTAAACTCGATGTATTCTATGATGAGTCCATATTCACCATGCGGGCCACTTTGGGAATTGAGTGGAAGCTTTTTCAGGCTTGGACAATTGTAAACGCTGATTTTCTCTAGACATGGTAAGAGTAGAGGACTCCAATAGATATTCTTCAACTCCGGTAGATCACACAACCAAAGAAAAAGCAGCTTTCGAAACGGAACAATCTTTGATTCTTTACCTTCGCAAGCTTTCTCTTTGTTTATTATATCTTCTAGTTCAGGTAAATTATTAAGATAAAGACTTTTAAGATTTGGAGCGAACATCAGAAAGGTCAACTCCCTCAAGTATTTGCATGACTTTATATCCACTTTGGAGAGGCAGGAGAAGCGTGGGCTTCTTGGATTGTGTAGAGGAGAAACTGTCTTGGTTTCGATGTTTACCATCTTTATCTCAGAGATACTGCAATCCTCAATTCTGAAATCACAAAGCTTGTCCATAGTTACTGGAAGAGATATTTCAGATGAATGCAAACCATCCCCGCAAGGCCGGAACTCAACAGATCGTGTACAGCTCGTTATCCTATGAGAGCTCAAAAATTGCTGGAAACCTTGTGAGAGCTCCAATCTCGCATCGAAAATTTCTAAATGTTCCAAGCTTTCCAACTCCTTCACTGCGTCCAGATCCCATAAAAAAGCAGAATGCAATAATTTCAAAACTTTCAAATTGTGAAGACTTGATATCCCAGCAATACTCGAAAGTTCATATGTTTCCCTCAAATCCAAGTGAATTAGTTTTATCAACTGTAGTAGACCTGTACATAAATGAGTTATAGCAGTCCATGATAAGTTGAGATATTGCAAGGAAACTAGTTTTGATATTCCTTCTGGCAACTCCGAGAGAGCTCTATTATCCGATAGATCCAAAACAACTAGCTTTGGCATGGAGTTGAAAAATCCACTCGATATTTTTGCCAAAGACGTATCTTGCAGGAGCAAAGTTGTGAGTTCAAAACATTCAGCACTGCCGGCGAGATGGTGAATCTGGTTCTTCATCAGTGACATCTTTCTCACAATCTTCCAATTCTTAACCTTTGGAATTTCACGTAACCCAACGCCTGCACGCACGATGAATGCCTCTTTTTGTTTTCCCAAGTCAGATGCAATCCATAAGGCCATTTCACGAACAACATCATGCATACGCACAGCATATTCAATCACTTGCACTTCCATCAATAATGATGCAGGATGTGCACGATCAGCATCATGCATACGCACAGTAGGGTCACGTATCCGACACTCCCTCAATAATGATGCACGAACAAGGCTACTGATAATACCATAACCCTCGTTCTCAGCCTTTTCAACACATTCACTTCCATCAATAATCCCTTCGCCTATCCAGTAGTCTATCAATTTTTTATTGGGGATAACAGCATCTTCTGGAAATAATGCGCAATATAGCAAACACGATTTGACCTGCTCCCCCTTAAGATTATCGTAGCTATACTTCAAAAGCGGAAGGATCTTATCTTCCATGCCAGAAAACTCTACAGCGTATGAAGTCAAAACATCTATAGCGTGGCGCCATTCCTGTACCGTTCTCTTGCATGACATGGTCTCCCCTACAACATTGAGCGCCAATGGTAGCCCACAACATTTTTTAGCAACTTTTCTTGCAAGATCAGGGATATCCGGATCACTTCCTAGTGTTATTGGTCCAACCTTCTTTTGGAACAAATCAAATGCTTTATTTTCCTCCAAGCATTGGACTTCCATTGGGTCCTTGACCCCCATGTGTGCGCACACATCCTGGGAACGAGTGGTAAATGCCAGTTTGCATCCGTTTTGTGCTGTTGGAAACGGGATTCCGATCTCTTTCAATTCCACCTTCTCCCATATGTCGTCTAAAAACAACACAAATTTCTTTTTCTTTAAGAAAGTGAATAAAACATCGGCCTTTTGTGTCTTCTCCTTCTCTTTCCACTCCCCTCCACCAAGATCAACTTTTCGAGCGACTTCATCTTGAATCTTCTCTACATGTAACTCTTTAGACACCACAACCCAAATCACAAAGTCAAATCCACACCTTTCTTCACTGAACTTATTGTTGATTTGTTCCAGAAGCGTTGTTTTTCCTACTCCGCCCATACCATACAGACCCATAATACCAACACCATCTTTCCTGAGATGTTCCCAAGCCTCATCGAGCATTATTTCTTGACCAACAATTGTCGGTTGAAGTTGTCTTTGTACCACCTCGGATGTTTGAGGTTGGTCAGCAATCACATCAAAAACTCCACTACATTTGAGTTCCTCACCGTCTCTTAAGGTTGAGAAAACAGCTTCCCCGTACAAATTGCTCGTTATTAAATCATTAGAGCAAAGCCCACAAAGATAAAGCCTTTCAAGTTCATTATTTCTAGCACTAAGAAGCTCGTTGACATTTTTTTCGATAGTTTCAACTCTAGTAAGCCATACCTTGATTTCTGCACTCCTTTGCAAACCTCTATCCTCCTCCCGTTTGACCCTTCCTAACAAAGTATCTCGCTTAGCCTTGAGATCTTCCATGGTTTTCTCAAGAGCCGTGAGATTCTTCTCGAGGTTGTGAGTATAACCTCCATTATCTACGAGCCAAAGATTGATTCTAGTCGTCCAAAATTCAACTGTTGTCGAGAAGCAATTCCCCATTTTACAAAGAGGGAGAATTCTGATGAAGTTTGAAATTCACTGCTTTGAGCAAGCCAGAGAGGATGCACAGAAGAATTGAAGATAGGTCTTTTGTGAAATATTGCATCTTTCTTTCTCGTCCACAAGAAATAACTGATTTTTCTTGGAAATTTTGCATCTTTGATGTCCATTATTTCTCACATTCACACTCTGGTAGTTGACTTTGGTGGGACATAGTAAATTAGTAATCAAAAAGTCTCTCCATGGCTAACCGAAGAAAAACACTTAAGAATCTCGTAAAACCAAAATGGCACCTTCCTCATCATCAATCAAATCACATCACGTGGCAGTTATCGGAGCTGGACCCGGTGGTCTTGTGGCGGCGAGAGAGCTTCGACGGGAAGGTCACTCTGTTGTCGTCTTGGAGAGACAGAATCAAGTCGGAGGAACATGGATCTATACCGATGATGTTGAACCCGATCCGGCTAGCTAGCGTCAACCCAACCCAACCTTCCACGAGAGTGTATGGATTCAGAGACTTCCCGTTCGTGATCCGACCCGGCGAATCCAGAGACCCGAGGAGGTTTCCGGGTCAAGAGTAGCTCCGCAGAAAGTAGCTCCGCAGTTGAAGGATCAAGAGCAGAATATTCAAGTTGTTTATAGTTAAATGTTATTTCTAATTTTTTTTTTTTTTTTTTGCAGAAACTGAAGAAAAAGATCAAGTTTAAATGAAAGATAATCTTTTTATAATTTTGTGTTTGTTTGTTTGATTTAAACATTCCTATTTTATAATTTTGTGTTTGTTTGAACAAAGCGCTGATGTTATATTTTTGAATTGGATTTTGTTATTAATTATTTATTTACTTATGAAATGTTGGATTTTGTTTATGATATATGTTTTTTCATTTCAGAAAGTTTTATTTTCGTTAAGATATTATGTTTTCTAAAAATATGTAAAAAATATATAATAACATACATAATATTACAATATTACGAGAATTCAAATGTAATTTAAATAATTAGATTAAAAAAAAGGATAAACGAGTTTAAAAGGGCTATTTAAGTCCGACGAACTTCTAAATGAACGGGTTAAAAAACTACAAACATAAACAGGCTTTATTTAAACGGGCTTTAATAGAGCGGGCTTCGGCAGTTGTGCGGGTTTCTCCGGCGGCAGAAAGTGACGGAGAAGGACGAATCGGGAAATGGAGAATCGAGTCTAGAGAGAAAGGGAAGAAAGATCATCGCGATGAGATTTATGATGCTGTTGTTGTTTGTAACGGATATTACACAGAACCTTGTCTCGCTAAAATTCATGGTAATTTCTCCTCTTTCAATAATTGGATTAAGCTTTGTTTCGTCCAAAGATTTTAGATCGAATGTGGAAAGAGATTTTCATTGAAACGTTGTTGTTTTAAGCTTTACTGAATTACTGAGACTGTTTTTAAGTGTAACTGTTTAATCTCCTAAATTAGATTAAATTCGGTATTAGTATAATAATCTCTATAGTTTATTAGTCTTGTTGTAGTATATTATTGAGATTATACCATTATTTATAACTAATTTCACAAAATTGTTAAACTAGGTTTATCATATTATATCTTTTGTAGTAACTAACCCTTCCGCTCTGTTTTTGGTCGTTCGGATTTCGCTTCCCTTTCGCTCTGTTTTTTTTTGCAAGGTATGATTTTTGACTCTGTTTTTGAGTACTTTGGTTGTTTTGCTCTGTTTCGATCATCAATAAAATTCTTGGTTGTTTTGGTCTGTTTCGATCATCAATAAAATCCCACCCTCAGTGTTTAAATAAAAAAGTTGTGAACATGGCATATAATTGTTTTTAAATATCGGAAGAAAAATGAAAATTAAGGTGGCATTTTATTTGGTTCATGTTGTCTTTAAAAGATAAATAATAAAGTTAAATAAGAGGTCAGTGTAAATTTATCTGTATAAATTTGTACATGTCCTCATTTAGTCTGTAGTGATTTTGATTGAAGCTTGACTGATGAGTTTGATTGTGAGTTTTTTTTTCCTCTGGAAACTTTTAGGAATAAGTTCTTGGCCAAGGAAAGAGATGCATAGCCAGAATTATCGTATTCCCAAACCATTTAAAGATCAGGTTACTCATTTTTTCAAAAGATCATGTAATGTCAGGTTCTTACGTAATGCTTAAATTCATGTGAACATTGTGCTACATTTACTCAGGTTGTTGTGCTTATTGGAAACTCTGCAAGTGCTGATGATATAAGTAGGGACATTGCTAGAGTTGCCAAAGAGGTCCATATGGCTTGTAGATCAAATGCAGCTGATACTTTTATCAAGCAGACCGGTTACAGTAATATATGGATGCATTCGATATATGGTGGGTTAGCTGCTACTTAAAAAAACTTACCTTAATTGGATGATAAGTAAGAAAAGTTTTTATGTTTTCTTGTAACTTTATACGCAGATTGCACGTGTCCATGAGGATAGTTCTGTTGTTTTTCAGAATGGGAAAATAATTTTGGTTGATGTGATTATGCATTGCACTGGGTACTATTCATTTCGTTTTTTGGCTTATTTTCGGGTTTTTATTTTCGAAATGTGGGAAACCTTGAAATCTCTAAATATCCCTAGCACACACATCTCTAAATCTTCCTAGTACGATCCACATTTTTACTCAACTTTTTATAAAATTCGTAACAACAAATCAGATCTTCAGGTTATACTGTTTCCGTTCCCTATGTTTGAGCTGCAAAGCAAGTGGATCACTGGTGTTTTGTCGGGTCGGATCACGCTTCCTTCAAAGGAAGATATGCTAATGGAAATCAAAACCTTCTATGCAAGACTTGAAGGCTTGAAGCCACTCCTAAGCGATACACTCAGTATTTGGGCATTACCCAAGTAAGAAACTCTTCAACTTGTGTTTCTTCTGTGAGACCAAAACCTGTTGTTCTGCACCAAATCTAGACCAAAACCGAACATAAAACACATTTAAAGATTTTTCTTTTTGTTGTTTCACAGTTTGAGTACAATAATTGGTTGGCTTCAAAATGCGGGTGCTCTGGAACAGAGGAATGGAGGAAAGAAATGTGTTTGATGTGTTTCATGAGGAAGATTGAGCATCCAGAGATGTATAGAGACGAATGGGAAGATCATCACTTGGTTTCTCAAGCTTATCAAGATTTCTCTTTCTACGTATAAACAAGATATGAGACTGTATCAATACGGTTTGCTATATGTCAGAGTTGAGCTAAAAAAACGTACATCAGATTATATATACATACATTTGCTACACTAAACAAAGCATACTGGCTTTCGATGGTCTCACTCTAGTAAGCCTCTAGACCTTTATCCTCTCTCTCTCCTCCTTTCTGACAAATCATCTCGCCATGCCTTCAACTCTCTACAGTGTCTCCAAAGCTGTGAGACTCTCAGCAAGTTTGTGAATATAGCTTTCTTAGACACATAACCATTGAGTGACTTGATTCAAAACTTGATCACATGACACTGTGATAAGTATCTTGATAAGATGATTCATCACACCCATTACCGTAAGAAGAAGTCTAAAGGGTGTTGGGGTCGGTTTCACCCCAATCGGTTTAAACCATCTCAAGAACATCGGAGAGTCGATCTGGCCGGGAGAACCGGCGATCCATCACACAATTTGGCGAGCCGCGCATGAGGGGAGTTGGCCGAACTCAAATGGGCCGAGCCGTGAGGAGGAAGAAAGTATAGGCCGAGCCGTGAATAAGGAAAGAGGGGCCGCACCGTGCATAAGAGGAGATAGGCCGCGCCGTGCATAAGAAAAAATGGGCTGAGCTGTGCACAAGGGAAAGTGGGCCAAACCGAAGCCTTGAAGGAAGAAAGCCCATAAAACCCTAGGCGATGCATCGAGGCGGTGGCCGCACGAAGCGATAAGGAAATATTCCTGAAATCTCTCCCGAGATTTTCGGCTAGGCGGTTTAGAAAGTTAGTATAAATAGACAATGTATGTAATTCATTCGGTAATTTTTGACAACTCGAGAGCAATAAGACTTAAACACTTTTCAGCAAAACCCTTCTTTTGATCTTACTGTTCTTGCGATAAACCCTAGAAATTTCGGATCCCTTAAGTTTTCCTTAACAAATTTTTGGTTGTGCGAGTTTTGTCTCACACAATTTGGCGCCGTCTGTGGGGAATCGAAACTTTCTTACTCTAAATCGACAAGACTTTAAGATCCGAAGAACATGGCGAGCAACACTCTCGACGGCAACAACAACAACAACGATAACGACACGGAGAAGGACGCTCCAGCATCGGGCACAACGACGGCGACGACCGAAACGCAAGAGGAGATGCGAAACATGATGGCTGCGTTGATGAAGAAAATCGACGAGCAGGACAAAAGGAACGAGGCGATTACGGAGAGACTCGACGCGATGGCGGCTGAGCGACTACACCCAGCTTGGAGAGCTGGAATTCCCGACCCGATGGATGGAATCCGGAGACGCTTCGATTTCTCAACGCCTGCAGAGGCCTCGGGGAGCGGTGCGAGAAACCCCTTGGCTCCACCAATGTTTCGTCCCTTCGGCGAACAGACTCCCGCGGCAACCCGAGTCAACATGACCGAGCCGCCTCCACTCCGTCGGAACTCAAGGCGACGAACCGGCGAAGAGGAGAATGACGCAATTGATGTGGACGTCCAGCAGAACGATGGAACCACAAACTCGCAACAAAACGGCTCGGCTCGGCGAATAAGCCAAGAAGAGCTCGCCTCGGCACTAAACGGCGTCCGGACCGACGAAATCACTGATCCGGCTCGCGGCGACAACCCGACTAAAGAAGAAGAAAACCTCCAATGGATTGAGCAGACGGAACGCGGACGAGCCGAGGAGAGAAGTGCGGGAGCGACTCCCCCAATCAAAGGGTATGACTCACGCACAAACCCTCAAAATCGAAGAGTTGGGAGCCTCAATGGCTCGGACAGTGGCAGAGATACGCGCCATGAAATCTCAAGTGCATAATACGACAAGTGCCGCGCCGGAGATTGATCGAATGCTCGAGGAAACCAAAAGAACCCCGTTCACGACGAGGATCACAGAGGCTAGGATCCCCGAGCCCGGAAAAGTCAGGATCCCTTTCTATGAAGGAACCACTGACCCGAAA